TAGAGTTATCACCGGTGCCAATCCTCGTCGAACTTCCGGTTCAATTAGCCGGCTATAAAAGGGCTAAAACGGAAGCGATCCCAGGGCACAGGGGGAATAATTGAGTCGTGACGGCAGCCTCGTAGTTCTCACGCCTTTATCCCATCCTCACTCAGTGCAGACTCATAAATAAATTATTCCCGACTGATTGACCTTTTAGATTAGGCCAAATCGGCTTTCTCGAAGCGCACACCCCCTCGAGAAAAAATTATCGCCTTATAAATTAACTTAACAGGAGCAGTCCTTTATTTCTGGGCCGTTTTGATTTATCCGACAAACGTTCCCAAACGATTCTGCGGCCGAGGAACGAGAAGCACGGGAAATTATTTATCTCCATGAGGTCTTTGGGAGATGTAAGGCATTTCCAATTACTGTGCACTGTGTGTGACTAAAGTGCGCGGGGTGCGTTCATACCACATGCTTGGAGAGGGTCACATTCTGCCGAACAAGCTTAAATAACTACCCCCGCTGTTAGATGTGTGAGTGCATGAATTCACCATATTCGATCGATTTAGCAGCTGATTAGACCTCATTCGGTCAATCGCTCCTGCTCCGATTACATGAGTGTCGAAGTTGGACATGTAGAAATTTTTTAAGAAGAAAATTGCTTATTCAGATTGAACCCGTAGTGTTAATAGCGATAGTCGATGATGTTAGTGTTGAGTTGTAGTTGTTGATTATTCTGGTGATTATGTGTTTAGGGTAGTGATTGTTATGCAGGACATGATTGTACATCTTTATGTTCTTGTGGTGAAGATTTATGGCTCAGAGTAATAATTCTGATTAATAATTTTGTTAATGTTTTCATCGTACACTTTTTTACTGATTGCCACTGTTTGTTTTCATATATTAGCAGAAAGAACGAGTATGTCTGGATTATTTTTGAGAAATGTTATATACATCAATAAATCACTCCAAAACAATTCTCCAACGTTCCCGAAACTATATGGATCTGTCAAAATTCATAAACCTCAACACCCTTTAGGACCAGCAATTTCATTTGGTATGTGGGGGATAGTTTACGAATTTCCTCTAAGATCAAGCATTCAGCAACAAAATGGAGGGCGTTCTACACGTGAGTCCCAGAGGGTAGGCAACCCGTTAATTAAATTAACCACTTGTATTTCAGCAAATATTAAAACAATATAAACATGATAGATTTAATGGTGTATAACATAAAGAAAACAATATGTTTTTCTAGGCTTTTTTAAACGTTTTTTAATGTGTATTTCTTCTTTTTTTATTGGTAAGACCTTGTTCGTTTTAATGGGGGTGTTTAAAATTTGCAACATCTTAGTTGCCATTATTTTCTTTTTACTTGTAAAACGTTATGACATTCGTGTTATGTTTAAGAATTCGTATTATTTTTTTTTTTTTAACTTTGCAAATAAATTATTCCTGTCTATAATCTTCACGTTTGTTTCATAGTTGTGAAATCATAAAATGACCACCTGACTTACTAACACTTACTCCACTATCAACGTACTTGTGTACGTTTCGAGGGCTTTTCCTAAAATAAACGTATTTATTTGAGTCATTATCAGATTCACTAAGTCGTGTGCAATCCTGATCTTTAGCTTTTCTTCCTTTTACAATTCTAGTTAGAGAAACTATGATCAATTTCTAGTTTGATCTTTTCTCGTCTTTGAAGCTTAGAACGCTGCTTTGGCCAAACGCATTTAGCTATCGCTATTGATGTGTTTGTGACCTGATCTGTTATAATAGGAATTGGTTATCTATTCGAAGGATGAAGGACGAATGGATGGGGAGAACGAGGGCTGTGCTTTTGTTGTGATAAAGAGAGAGAGGTCTATGGACGAACAGAAGTTTAGTTTGAGCAGTTGCTTAAAAAGGTTCTTTACACTTCCATCTTCAGTCTGCAATTTATTTAAATTTAAAAGTCTGGCAAATATTGCACACGCCTAAATGTGAACAAAAATTGTTTGTTTCTTCGTTGTTAGACGAGTTTCTGGGTGTGGTTCTTATCATTCTTATCATTTATAAAGAATACTGAAGCGTTTTGTAAAATATCCAAACCGTGACAACCCAGCGAGTAATGATATTATTTACCAATATTAACGGGTTTTTCCAAACCATCTCGACCCGGTTATTGAATTTAACCTGGAAAGTCTCCAACAACTCACCTGGCTGTCTGGGGCGAAAAAATTGCGGAAAAGGACGAGATTTTTCTTCTCTTTTGTTTTTTCCTCTCTGAACAAAAGGCATAACAGAGGGGAATGAAACATTCGAAGGGATGATACGTCTACGCGGGGTCAAAGCTGTAATGTAACATCCCTTTGATGTGACAGCCAAATAGAAACAGGGAAAGCCCGTAACGAAACGGTGAACCTACTTTTGCTGAAGTCAGTACCGGCCTTTGGGCTCCAAATGCCTGGGGCGAACGTTAACTAACCCTTTACAAAAACAAACAAATTAAGTTGAGGCATCAGAAGCTCATACAATTATGTCTTGGAACGATTCCGTTTGGTAAAATTTACTTTTTTCTGTTGAACAGTTTGAAATGAGAATCGTTCCGAGGAGATTAAAAGATTTGTTTTATTTTTAAAAAAATAAGTAAAACAACCTTTTTAACTTATCTCCACTTAGCTAGAAAGAATACATCCTTGATTTTTGTTAGAAATTAAAAGTATATTTAAACGGTTTTAATGTTAAGCCGTTAAAATTGGCCAAATGTTTTTAGCAGTCCTAGATAAACGAAAACCGGCGGGGCGGCAGTGTAGCAAACGGTGGAAATTTGAGATAACGGGCCTCCTTTTTCGCCCTCATTTAAAATAATTAAAACTCAAAACGGGCGAAACTTTGCCCAGTTATCCCGGTCGAAACAATTAGTTTCTAACGAACAACTACTCGAACAAGTTTCGTCGCTGTGGATGTCATCATCAGGACGTCGCACAACAAAGTTCTGAAACAAAGTCCCCCTCACCCGGTTTAAACCAGCAACCCTATTTTGTAAATTTCTTAATATTTTTTCCACTTCAAACAAATAGAACGTTTTTCTTCTTCTGGCATGCCAGAAACCCAATTCTTTGGAATTTAAGAGAGATCGAATTAACTTTTTTAATGAAAAACTATTACGTATGCATGTTAGCCAACGCAAAGGAAAAATACGAGAAATGACTTTTTTTCTTCTTGTAGGGACGACGTATGCAATAAAATTGCAAAGGAGGGAACTTTCGGCTTTCGAAATATTGCGAACATAAGTCCCTCGAAGGCCTTTTTACAAGAACCTTACTTAAATTACGAGTCGTAATTGTTCTATATTCGTAGAACTCAATATTTCCTACAAAAAAGTCCCAATAAAGTATTTATTACAGGTGAATTTCCTTTTATTGGTTCTACCCTAATTTTTTTCTCTGAGTAACAAATCAATAAAGAAAGATTGTATTTTTTTAACATATAGATAGATTTTGTATTGCTTAATAAGAAACATTGCAAAATTGCCGGGTATTAACAGTTTGATAGTAACTTTATTAAAGTAAAGTAATTCTTGTCATAACAACTACTCGTTGGGTGTCGGGAATGAGGGGTCAAACCACTTTACAATAATTGTTTCATATTTTTCTAATTTAAAAAATCATGAGCTAAACCGGGTTCGAACCCAGAGCCACCAGAACAAGTACGAGCCGGAAGCCCTAATTACTCGGCCACCGCGGTTTTGTCTTTACTTAGGTTAAATTCTATCAATTGACTGAAGAGAAAAACTACTTAGGATAGTTTTAAGCCTAATTATATGACATATTTGTCCTGAAAGAAATCCTTATACGATCAGACACCCAAATAGGCTTTAAAGCATTAGCACTCAAAAAGGTCACATACAATAGCCTGTGAATGCATCCAAATTCTCAAAAACCAGGAAAATATAACAACTTGAAGATACCTTGGGTGCTAGGGCATAAAGGAATTCTGGATAATGAACAAGTAGACAAACTGTCCAGAGAAGGATCGAAGTTCATATAAAGGCCCAGAACCTACGCTTTGAATAACAAACATTCCTCAATCTCAGAATGGGTTCACAAAACCAAATGGAGAAGTGGACAAACTCCAGAGTACTGTACACAGTGATTATTAAAGAACTCATATCAAATCTAACAAGCACAGTACAGCACCCCAGAATTAGACAGGGTAAAACATAGAGGAGTAATAGACCTACAGATCACTGGTACCTAAGAAATAATCTGCACAACATAGGTGGTTCATTGATAACCCTCTTTAGAGGTTATACAATGAAGAGGAAAAAACTGCCGCCCATGTCATCTTTGAATGCGAAGCTACCGCTCAATGGATATATGCCCTAAGATACCGTCCTGTGTTGAAATGCAGTAAGGCCAGTCAATGACCTACTGTACGATACTTACGATACTTAAAAGAAGGATCGAGTTAAATGAACCTGCACTTAAGAACTAGGAAAAGTACAATACGCCAAAAGGCCTCAGTGCTTGGAGAATAAAAAATCCCAGCTTCCTACTATCATCTTTATCATCATCATCATGATATATTAAAAACGAAATTCCTTTTACATTGTTTACTCTAATTTAATTTTTTCTCCGCATATGTTAAAATGCAAATAAAATATTTTCCTTAATATAATCAATATGAACACGTTTTAACACGATTGATCAATAATATTGCTTTGGGGAAAGGTAACAAAACACATCGGAGGAATTTGGATTTTAACAAAAAGTCTTTATATGAGAACAGCTATCTAATTATTGAACTAGCCGTTGTAAACTTTTCGTATATATTTAAAACTGTTAGTAATATTCAAGTTGTTTTGGGTATGATATATTATAAAATATCGTCGTTCAATGAAGCCAGATTCAATGGGATCGTAATGGGCTTTTAGCATAGATGTTCAGCCCGATGAAACCTAACATTTATTGTCATGCTGTAGATAATCCGGATTATATTTTTTTAATTAATAAATAGAAAAATTGCTTTACCTGCTGGGATAGTTTGGTCATATCGACTGGCTTGATCCGTTTGAGAGCGGAGAGGCGTTCGAGGCGTTCCCGTGCCTGGGCCTCCACCGCGATGACAAACGCATCTTGGACGTGAGAATTTTGTGCCAAGTCGAAAGCTGAAACAAAAACACATAGTCAAATTAAAAACATTAAAAAGCTCATATTACATTTTTGTACCATTGTCTTTCCAAACCACTTGTGGACTGGGTTGGAACATAGGAATATACATCTCATAATATGCTGGATTTTTATATTTTACAACTTTCATAAATGGTGTATCAAGGAGTTGGAAGAAGGCCACGGAGGGGAATCAGAATAGTTTGGCTCCACTCCAAAAAGTTTTATCTATCAATTAGCGAACTGACTGTGCTTAGTTATCGCACTATACGACAAAAATGAACCAATTTATGAACATATGTGGTACTGGTTTGTCAGGGGGTGTGTTGAACTGATTATCACTTTAACTGGTCCGCCTATCCTGGCTTTACACCTCCATTAAGAAACTAAGTGAAGTGATCATTATCAATCATTCCAACGAATTTATTGAGAGATGCAATTTTTATCATCATCAAGTATAAATATTATTATTCAGAAATCGTGAGATGGGGTCTGGTGTGACGTAGATTTCAGAAAAATTTTCTTTATCGTGCCAACGTTTCCATCTAAAGGAAAATGAAAAAAAGTTGGACAGACAAAATTTGCCTTTATGAGATTTTTAATTAACATTTCAATATCGTGTATTTCCTCCTCTTGCCTTAATTACATCTCGAAGACGCCTCAGCATAATTTCTACCAGTCTGGAAATGTCTTTTTGCTGAAGGTTAGCCCATTCTTCACTTCTTCACGAAGAATCCTTCCAAGATCGTGGAGTGTATCAGGAAGTGATGGAAGTGCTCTTATTCATCTTTTGAGGTTATCCCTTTAATTTTCGATGGGGTTCAAGTCTAGAGAACAGTCTGGCCAAGCTAAGTCCCTGATGTTTTGCTGTTGAAGGTACGTTTGTACTGATTATTTGGAGGTCGTGAGATGCGGTTTGGTGTGACGTAGGTTTTAGAAAAACATTATCTTTATGGTGCGAACGTTTCGATCTTTTCAATTAATTAAGGTTTTGGTTGAGATAAAAAAGTCAGCGTCACAAGCGGGATTCGATCTCAACCAAAACCTTAATTAATTGAGAAGAATTTATTTGGTCAAGCGGACAACGAAACCTAATAAAATGTTTCGATCTTTATTGAGATCATCTTCAGGGCTAAAACTGTCTGTTTTCCGTGTAGATGTGTCATTCTTGTCTGTCGTGTTGAGAGTGCCTTTCTAATAAAATAAGTTTGCACTTTTTCGACTGTCTCAAAAAGTTGAAACCCCCATGCCTGACACCCGTAATACATATTGCCTTACATACTGCGTTAAAAATGTGTAGAAATGCATTAACATAACTTTGTTCTAAGGTGGATTATATTTTATAAAATCAGGTATGACCAGGATTTGTTTAAAACTATCTTAGCAATGGAAGCTTTCGCTTTGAAGTGTGGGAACAACGATAAACGAGGAGTTAATACTATCCGTTTACTTTTGAAAAATGATTTTACTAAAAAACGGGTTTTACTTACTTTTTTTGAAGATCATCGTTTTAGACTTTAGGTTGACTGAAAGGTTCCACGTTTTACAGTATTCGTTCAGAAGATTTATGCTTCTCTATATAAATGTCAGACAATATCACTATATCGTCCGCATAAATTAAAAAAAAAATAATAATTTTCATGCCTCGGATACGTATTCCACTTTTTAAGGCAGAGAGCAGGTCGTCCAAAAAAGAGAAAATAACATGGGGCTAAGCAGACAACCCTTCTATGTCCAGATTGAACCCTACAAAATTCCCTAGCGTTTTTGACCTCGTAGCCCCGAATGTGTAATATAGAGTGCTAAGTTACGAAGAAGCTTACTAGAAAAACCCAATTTTTTCACAACAATCGCTATGTGATACGTAACGGTATATTATAGGGCTTAGTTATACAAATAAAACCAGTACAACCAACGATTCATTCTTACATTTTGTTTTAATTATTAGGTTTATATTCAAAATATTTCTTAAATATCTTTATACATTTCTTCACAGAGAAGGCAAAAGTGTTATGACTTAAGGGGGCGTTGGTTGCCGCAATGTTTTAGGCGTTGACCCTGCGCCCATCACTGTAAGGTAAAGGTCCCGGGTTCGAATTCAGAGGCCTTGCATTTGAACCTGACATACAAATAGGCTTTTTTCAAAAACACCGGCACCCCGAGTGTTGTTTTGACCTCCGCTGTTGCGAACCCTCGTAAAATAAAAATAAAATAATGATTTAGGATGGATTAGTTTATACGTAATTAGCTTAATAATGATCACAGGAATTAAATAACATGAACATTCTTCTTTATTGGCAACATACTGGAAGGACAGATCAGCGGAAATCCCTCAAACGTTAATAGTTCATTTTGGGTGAGACGATCAACGACAAAACACGAAAATCACGACGGCAGCCTCTTGTTTATTATTAACTCCGTTCCTTCTCAGGTAATTTCCAACTCCTGGAAGTTTCGACTCGACACAAATTGAAACGCACGCAAGATTTATATGAACAACTAAGTGCAATCCGTAAATTGACAACCGAACCAACTACAATTTTGGTAACTAATTACGTCGGGTAACAAGTTACAGGGCAATTAATTGATATCACTTGCTTTTCACATTACACGCCAATTAAGTTTGAGACAAATTGTTGGGTTTTATGTTATATCTATTTTATTATGGCGATAACCAGTTCGTCTTACGGAAAAATCGACAAAGAGTGTTCAACTTAACTGTTAAGTCTCCACTAAACTTTGAACAATTTTCTGTAAGTACGCACTCAAAATGATTGGCAATCAAGACTATTAAATCGTGAATTGGCCGTACGAAAAGATATAATCAATAAGCATCCAATAAGCAATAATAGCAATAGAAGAATACCACAATAAACATTTCAATAAAATAAAGAATATTTCTAATAAAGATTATGATTTTGTAAGGAACAATTGTAGACCTATTAAATTAATGAAAAGTATTATTAATGTTATTATCACACTTGGTTAACACACAATTCGCCAACAGTAAACATTGTAAGGTCACATGATGTGTTCTACAGAATGAAAGAGGGCTTACACAGAAGACAAACACTTTGAGTGAGTAGAAATACTTTGTTTGAATATATATAAAAAATATATTTTGCATTGTATAAATTCACTTTTCCACATCCTAAATGTATTTGTTAAATGTAAACATTGTTTGTAAATCCCAGGCCCTGAAGATGATCTCAATAAAAGATCGAAACGTTGGCACGATAAAGAAAATGTTTTTCTGAAACCTACATCACACCCGACCACAACTCTCGATATCTGAATAACTTTAATACGTAAGTTAAAAAAGTAAACTTCCATTTGTCTCTCCTGTAAAATTATCTTTTGTTGAGGTGTGTCACTTTTCTCGTGAGTGTGCGATATATAATCTCATTCCTCATTGCGATCCTGCATATTATTATTTTTTATTCTACGTAAAAAATCGACTGGTTTATAACTAAGACTACAATATACAGTAAGAATCAGAAACATTACAATTTCGATTAGTCCATGATCATCAGCGGTGTTTTGCTTAGTTATAATTGTTATAACTTATAATTTACATAAAACGTAAAAAAATGAATTTTGCACCAACTTTTTTCAAGTAATTTAAGACAGTTAAAAAGAAAAAAGTTAAATAATGTTATTAGTAACGATAATAAAATTAATAGTAAAATTACATGATTATGCAACACAGTAAAGACAGCATTTATATTTCGTGGTCCGATTGACTAAATAACTCTTTCAATTAATTAATCTTTATGTAAGGCATTGGTTGAAATGAAAGAGCTAGTGTCATGAGCGGGATTCGAACCCACGACCTTCGGCTAAATACGCCGCTGCTTGAGAACAACTCGGACACCAACTTCCCATCTTAACCTACGTTTCGAAATTTCCCTCCTTTTGGCCATTTTTAAAATGTCGTGTAATCAGGATTCGATAGTAAAGAAAATTAAATAATAATAAGCAGATGAATATATTATTCTCCAGCTAAGAGAGGCTGAATATTACTAATGAGACATATATTAGAATTGAAAATAAAAACATTTTAAATGAATCCATTTTAAAAGTTGAAATTTTGATTAAAAACATATCCAAATATATACCTATAATACCTAATTAAATTGGTGTAAACTAGTTCAAATATTTTTTCCTCGGCTCCTAGGGTAGTTAGGCAGAAGAATGTGGATAAGTATGAGCACTAAACCTAACCATTAAAAAGTTGTCGAAATTTCAGTGATTCGCCGGTTAGTAGACCTCAGACCGTGCTAGTGTCGTGTCTGTTATTATTTCTAAGATAAAGCACTCGCATCAAATTCTCGACTTTAGCACGAGTATCACAGTTTACGTGAATACATATTCTTATTTATAATTGTTTATGCAGCTTGTTTGTCTTAATCAACCTAGCTTTGTCTATTTGGCATTTGTCGGACGAAACTACATGACGAATCTGAGTCTGTTTAAAAATTAAAGTTTTTCTACATAAAAGATTGTTTATAAATTGTTATGTTCATAATCCATTTAGGTGCTATATAAGAGTAAAAAATAACAGTTTTTTATTGTCTACTGCAAATATTGTCCTTCTGTTATGTGTTCAGAATGAGATTGATAATTAAATAAATAAGAGCAAGAATAGAACTTTAAAACAATGACCACACCCTGTGAAACAGAGGGCGTGACAGAAGTTGACGCGGCGAAAAAAAGCTCCTAAAATGGAAGTTACTGAAACGAAATACGAAAAATTCAGCCGGTTTTCTGACCGGGCTTTTAAGAAGTTAAGCTCATTAGAAGGAATAAGGTTTCGGATGAGATGTGAGTGAAAAACGGAGAATGTAGAAGTTGGCAGGCTGGGGCTTAAAGGAGTTCTGCTCTGGGGGTTAGGCGCGGGGGTTGCGGCCGGCCTCAAACGATCCCCTCACGTTCAATAGCTCCGAATTTAATAACGTCTTCCCTTCAATAAACCACCACTAACCCCACAGCCGACCTT